TCCAGCAGGTACGGGGCATCTTCGCCACGAGGAGTACCCGGCTTCGGGAGCTGCGTAAGCTCGTCAAGGTGGAGCTGGCGAGGATGGAGCGCGTCACGCTCCATCACATCGACCGCCAGGCCAACGCTCATGCCGACCGCCTCGCCAACGCAGCCCTCGACCGCCGACGCACCAAGCTGGAGTGCGGTGCTCACGTTGACGGTACCAGCTGCACCCGCACCACCATGGACGTACCGACACCGGCAGCACCCGCGATGCCGATGGCCCACCTCCGCCCCGGACACCGACTGATCCAGACGACCCAGTCGACGGCCCTGCTGACATCGACGACGGTGAGGTGTACGCAGCGATACGAGTAGGACCTGACGCGGTCCCGCAGCGCAGACCCCGCCTTCGCTTGCGCCAACTCCCCGACGACGAGGCAGAGACGGTCAGCGCGATGGTGGAGCGGTTTGGAGCGTCACTGGCGTCCAAGATTTCGGACGCGAGCGACTGGGAGACGGCTGAGGGTTACATCACGGCCCTCCCTCACCTCTTGTACGACAAACTACAGCCGTACTCCCAGGCTCAGCGTCGCCTTCAGCCGTGCCCTCGACCAAGCCAGCAGGCGCAACACGACCAGCGGCAACATGTCCAGCAAACCCCGCGCCAGGAGGATACCGTGCCCCACCGGCACCCGAGCACAACCAGCAGCCGCCGCAGGCGTCAGCGTCGGACCAGGCGCGGCCGCCCTCCGCGTGTGACGCGCCACCACCGCGATCACCGCTTGGATGAAGCACTGGACGAACTCCACGTAGTAGAGCGCCGCTCCCCCAGCAACCGCAGTGCCGTGAACAAGGCGCGGCGTCGTGTCGGCCTCATCAACGCCGCGATCGCCCAGCAGCGATTACGCCACCAGTTCGACAAGGATGAAAAGGCATGTGTGGACGGCATCTTCACTGCGGCACGCGAGAAGAGGGCGATGGCGACGACACCGACGGCGACGACAACGACGGCGACGACACCGACATCAAGTACAGCCTCGGTCGTCGACGCCAGCACCTGCCCCATTCCCGGTGAGGAACTTCACCGGTTCTTCACGGCGGTCAACACCCCGTCCGGGGTATTCGAACCGATGGCACCGGTAGGCGCCCATTTCCGCTCAGCCCTCGCACGCCTCCCCGCTGCTCGTCACAACAAGGAGCTGCTCACGGACCACCCCACCCCGGACGAGATTGAAGACCAACTGCAGCGCGTCCGGGGAAGCTTCAGCCCTGGCCTGGACGGGGTGGGCTACGACATCTACAATGTCTTCGCGACCCAGCTCCTACCGGCGCTACACGCAACGTTCAAGTGCTGTTGGCAGCATCGGCGTGGTGCGTCTGCTCACAAAAAGGGCGATCGGCTCGACCCTGCCAACTGGCGACCGATCTGCCTGCAGCAGACCATCTACAAGCTGTACGCGGGCGTGCTGGCCCGGAGATTCACGCGCTGGCTGGACGCGAACGACCGTCACGCCACCGCACAGAAGGGCTTCCGGGCGATGAACGGCTGCGGGGAGCACAACTTCCTCGCGGCCTCGCTCGTGGATCAAGCGCGACGCAAGCGCCAAGAGCTGCATGTCGTGTGGTACGACTTCGCCAACGCCTTCGGCAGCGTTCCACACGACTTGCTTTGGGCAGTGCTGCAGCGGATGGGCGTCCCTGCCGAGTTCGTCGACTGTTGCCGCGGGCTGTATGCGAACGCCGCGTTCACGGTCGGCAACGCGGCCGACGG